CTTTCCGTATTTCCGATCGCGATTCGCCCCTTCGCCGGACCCAACTTTCACCTTCATGGACCCAAGTAGAACCCATCAAGCTCTACAAAATTCACCCGGAACTTTTCCCTGTTCGACCCATAGTTAATGAGAAAATCACTAATTACTTTTAACGCTCTACAAGCTATATATATACAACTGGGAAAAATCTGATAATTTGTGCCACGATTCGCTATGTCACTGGACCCAACTTTCTTCTTCATGAACACAGGTAGAACTCATCAAGCTCCACAAAATTCACCTTGAACTTTTCTGTGTCCGACGCATAGTTAATGAGAAAATCACTAATTACTTTTAACGCTCTACAAGCTATATATATACAACTGGGAAAAATCAGACAGTTTGTGCCACGATTCGCTATGTCACTGGACCCAACTTTCTTCTTCATGGACACAGGTAGAACCCATCAAGCTCTACAAAATTCACCTTGAACTTTTCTCTGTTCGACGCACAGTTAATGAGAAAATCGCTAATTACTTTTAACGCTCTACAAGCTATATATATACAACTGAGAAATATCAGATAATTTGTGCTATGATATGCTGTCTCATTGGAGCCAAGTGGAACTCATGAAGCTCTACAATATTGGATTTTTATATATAGAGGTGATTTTATTTATTTAATTGATTGATGTGATTAGTGTGAGAATAGCTGATTTATTGGAAGAATTTTTTATACTCTGATCATGTCCTGTACAAGTGAATGAAGGCCGTCTATTTCTTTTTGCACGTTTTGTCTTAAACATTTAATGATGTAGAGAATTATGGATGAGAAGAGAAAGAACACGACGGATGCGATATATGTCCCAAGGTCGTGAAAGTATCGTTTATAGGTTGATTGACTCGGCGTGAATTCGGATATTGTGTCGTGCAGTAAGTGTTCAGCTTGCGTATGATAAGTTGATATTAATTTGGTCGTCATGTTTTTGATTGGTATAATAAAAGTGGGTGACTTGTGAAGGTTGTTGGGAGGAGTTGGCGCTACGATGATCCGACGTTTAATACACGATGTAGCCGGTAATTGAACGTCCATACATAGTATTGTTTTTTCGCAGGGCACACGTACAATTGCTGCCTCGTTGATCGATATCGTTTCCGCTATTCCATTCAGGGTTGAATGAGCCTGACAATAATGTGGTTCATGTATGTTGTAGAATAGCCAAATGTCGTTGTCAATCTGCATAACGCCTGGCTGCGTATCGCGTGATCCACTCATTTGACATGTATTGACGGTTGATGTTGCGTCATCAAATAGCTCGGATAAACACGACGAGCTCGACAGTGGAATTGATAAAGGCATATTTTGGCATTGTACAACAGTCGAGAACGTGCATTCATTAATGTCAGACTCATCATTCCACATTATCAATGTCTGATCGATCATGTTCAGACCGATTACCCTTGGAAGGTTTGAGTACATGTACTTGTTACCGTTCAGGGCAATCGGGAACGGGATCAAGCGATAGACTGAGTATGTAGATGTACCATCGAATGGAAGACGTAGAAATAATGTCGAGACGGCGAGGCACGGTTGATATGGTGGCGATTCTTGCATACTTGATGAGCAGTGGCGTAGAGCAAAAACAGTTTGAGCCACAACGAGTTGGGTAAAAGTTGTGAGTGATTCTTGAATGTCGGAGATTGTATAAGAATCGTCAACAGTTGCAAAAATTGCTGCTAGAAACAACTTCATATCAGTGTGAGACAAATATTCAAAAGCTATTTTATTGCTACTTATCTGTTTAAGGATGATGGCTGCGGTTGTTTGAGAAAAACGTGGAATTTCATGTTGATCGTCAACAGCAGTGGAGGAAGAGGATGTAATTAAAGTTCTTCCGCCATTCTTTTGAGAATGAAATTCATTATCGACAAAATGAACGATAGATTTAGTCTCCTTAATAATTTGATCAGGATGATAATGTCCGAGAACTCGACTTATATCTTTGCCAATCAATCTGGAAACGCTGTTGCTATCGTATGCAGACAGTGTGTGAACTGTACGACGAGGTGCCATCATAGTAGCTAGTTCCAACACATTCGTCTTTGTCGACAGCGAAGTATACAAACAAACATCTGTTTTTGGTGATGCAACGCAGTAATCGTCAAGGGGTACGAATGTATGGACAATCTCTTCTACGACTTCTGACGAATATTTACCGATGCGTCGAAGAGCAAAGCCTTTATTAACATCAATGAGAATATCAGCAGCCGGCAAATCTCGCATCGACACGAGCATAGCGGTCCTGATCCAGCTGATCACAAAGCACAAGAAAAATAATCGTGTAGTATCGACCATTTATGATTTAGAGATACAAGAAATTATCAGAGTATATAAGACAAAATTGATGGAAAAAACGTGTAGCTAGGAATTGAATACGTTAATTGTTTTCTCTTATTAGTTTTCGTTTCTTTTTTCCGTTCATATACATACTATATATCTAGAAAAGAGAAATTATGGGAAGGAAAAAGAAAACGATTAATTGGACAAGAGAAAAGAGATTCGAGAAGCAAAAATCGAAAAAAAGAAAATCGATAGAAATATGACCAATGAAGCGGCGTCATACGATATAATCACAAACAGTGTGCTTCCTCATTCTAACATAAGGTTATTAGTTTTCCTTTTCTCATTCATATGTAGTATGTACTGTGAGAAAGAAAAAGAAAATGAGTGATTGGACAAGAGAAAAGAGATTCGAGAAGCAAAAGTCGAAAGAAAAGAAAATCAATAGCAATATGACCAATGAGGCGGCGTCATACGATACCATTACAACAGTGAGCTTCCTCAATCTAACATAAGACATGTTTATTTGATTCTTCGGTATCAATATATATTGCCAGTATAGCGTGAAAAGTAATTAGCGATTTTCTCATTAACTGTTCGTTGAAATGATAAAAGTGCAATGTGAATTTTGTAGAGGTTGATGAGTTCTACTTGGGTCCATGACGAAGAAAGTTGGGTCCAGTGACATAGCGAATCGTAGCACAAATTATTTAATTTTTCTCACTTGTATATATATTGNTGATGAGTTCTACTTGGGTCCATGACGAAGAAAGTTGGGTCCAGTGACATAGCGAATCGTAGCACAAATTATTTAATTTTTCTCACTTGTATATATATTGCCAGTATAGCGTGAAAAGTAATTAGCGATTTTCTCATTAACTGTTCGTTGAAATGATAAAAGTGCAATGTGAATTTTGTAGAGGTTGATGAGTTCTACTTGGGTCCATGACGAAGAAAGTTGGGTCCAGTGACATAGCGAATCGTAGCACAAATTATTTAATTTTTCTCACTTGTATATATATTGCCAGTATAGCGTGAAAAGTAATTAGCGATTTTCTTATTAACTGTTCGTTGAAATGATAAAAGTGCAATGTGAATTTTGTAGAGGTTGATGAGTTCTACTTGGGTCCATGAAGAATAAAGTTGGGTCCGGGGATGGGGCGAATCGCGATAGGAAATACCGAAATATTTTGAAAATGAGTCGGTGTTTAGGTTAGGATTCGGGTTATTTTTGTTTTTTGATTGGTTTGCTGTAACGAATTTTAGAGTCCAAGGTGTTGGGTTTGTAGAGCTCGTGGAGTTCTGCTTGGGTCCATCGAGAGTGTGGTTGGGTCCGGTTGTGGGGCGAATCCATTCAGGAAATATTCGAATCCTGACCTAAGATATCCTACGTAATTTATTATCACAATTTATTAACCAAATAATAATTAATCATGTTCATCTAATCGGGATACATTAGTTACAATGAGTGAATTCTCATTTTCAAAGACTATACAATGGCCTATGATTGAAGAAACGGGTACAGAAAGGTTAGTGTCCAAAGGACACTTATGTAGTACATAAAAAACATATCCGAAGGTTTTCGAAGTAACGAATAAAACGGCGTATCTTTAAAAAAATCAGAAAAAGCATGAATTTCTTCATGTCACTGAATTAAAGCGAAGAAATCGTGATCCTTGATTAAGTAGAAAAATAGAATTTTTCCGAAGACTAACTTAGATTTGAGTCTAGCTATTACAAAATAGCTGTTTGTTTTCTGACGCTTCTTGTACAATAAAGAGTGGAACATGTTACTGTGGATGATGAAACGTGATCCGACAACAACGCAATTACGTACATCATGACAATAACACACAGAATCATGATGGAGTATAATACGCTTGTCATGTTTATCCACATTAATAATGTCAATCATTTCATATGAGTCAGGGTCTATAAAACTGTCTTGTCGATTGTCAACGGCATTATTTACGAAAAAATCGATTGAGTAGTAAAAAATAAGCTGCTCCGCTATGTTGCGAGAGCCATAATGATCGTCACCAACATAACCAATGAAATCTTCGAACGGAAAGGTGCTTGTCGATGACAAACTGCCAAATTCTTCATAAATTTTTGGATAATGATCATGTAAATGACAGGTCAATGTATTAATTTTATTAAAATATTGCGATACATTTCCTAAACATGAAAAGTACAAGAAGTCACATTTATTTTGAAAAGAAATTGTCGAAAAATATAAAGAACTCTCAAATTTCTACAGGAATACTTAAAAACGTCCAAAATGTTACGAAAACGTTGACAGTTTTAAGACTTTTTGAGATTTTTTGGCAATTTTTTCGACATGATCATTTCAACGGAGCAATATTCATATCTTCAGTTAAATAAGCAAAGCAACTGGATTAAGGGTATCCCACCTCTCTTTTCGGATAAAAATTCGATTTTAAGAAGAGGTCATAGTCGTATAGAGTGCACAATGCTCTACAAAATGAGACCTCTCCTCAAGCCTCTACGATCTTCCATTGTGGAGTTAGGAGTCCTTTATAATTTTCGTTTGATCTGCAAAAAATAAAAAAACTTCACTTTTAAAATTTTTTTTCATTTTAACAGAACGGAAAAATTTGTATGAGCCGACAGTTTTCTAGAGAAAATTGTTGTCTGTAAACTGCGATGGTTCCCGGCGTTCCTTTTTGAAGCGATTCAATTTTTGAGCGAATTTTGAGCGATTCATAGTTTTTCTACAAAAACAAGCATTTTTCTACTACTTAACGCAATTTTCAATGCCTAAAACGAAAAATTCGCTAACACCCTCAACCCCGGTACATTACGAGCCCCACGAAATTTCATTCGATCGAACTGAGATTTTCTGAAAAACTCTCGAAAAACTTGTCGAAAACTCAAAAATTGCAAAATAGTGTGGAGGTATAGATAAAACCAATAGCTGGTAAAAATTTCAGTCCAATCCCATTTACAAATGCAATATAACCGCGGACTTGAAAAAGAGGGGGGATGCCCTTAAAAGAGGACTTCTCACGCCAGAGCTAGCTTCCTAGGATAAAACTACCTTAGGCAAACGACTTAATTTAGTTCCGTTTATAGGTACGAATTAGCTGATGAATTATCTAGCCCGTTTCTGGTTTCTGGATCGATAACTTTTCCAGTTAAATTAGTCGCCGTTCTGTTTTTCGCTTGTAAGAACTTTTTAGAGTAAAGCGATTATAGCCGCACTCACTTTGATAGTCGTCGAAGAGCTGTGATGATAGTTGTTGTCGAATACATCGATCGACGACTACAACGGGCGATCCGTGAAGTAGTCGAACACCACAAACGAAAGGACACAAAAATGAGACAAGTTCTATGTCAAAAAAATCAATTAATCTTGGTATCATAGCATACAGCAACAAATTTCTTAATTAACTTCCTTTCACATAGGCTAAATTTAGAAATGATGGTAGTCTACGGTTAAAAGTATGGGGAAACGATTGATGTTTTAACAGTGTATCTAATCGTTCTAGTTCAGTTATTGATAACAGCTCTCGTAAATGTGTGATAATAGTCTTTGTCTGTCTCAATAACGACGTATGTAAATGGTCTATCATAATTGCAGAGGGTAGATCGTGGTCGTATAATTTCGATATAACAGACATCCCATAATGGCCGAAACAATCATTTTGCGGGCTACCCTCTAATGCAAAACGTTTGAAATCATCAGAAGAACGTTCCACTAATGGACGAATGAATGGATATAACACTTTAGTATCATATACCCCTAAAAAAGTAATAAAAGATACAATTCCTCAATAAACTTTAGTCTGACTCCGCTTCTCTAAAGCAATCTCCGTTTTCCCAGAAAATGCCCCTTACATTCGAGTCTTTTCGACATATTTCCACGCATGTATTTCGATGCAATAAGTTCAATGCTATTTATAAAACTTTTTCTATCGATTAAAAAATTTTGTCCCTTTGAAGTTCTCGATAAAGCCGCGTTTTAATACTAGAAATCAATCTACGGATACTT